AGCAGATGTGCGATGGGAATGGTGTTTGCATTCTGCTCTGCTGCCAGTGATGCAGTGCTCTGCACTCAGCCATGCCTTGATGTTCCCATAAATTCCCTCTTGGGGTTTGCACCCCATGAATCCAGGCTTTCTGCTTGGAGCAGCCTCACAGTCAGATCTGGAGAAGCTCCTTTGGAGAAGTAACTGTGGATTTTTGAACTTCAGATGAAAAGCCAGGTGCTGAATCTCTTATTTATCAGAATTTCCCTTGATGTTAATAAGAGATGGAGCCGAGCAGGATGCAGAGATTCAGCCTCAGGTTTCTGGAATTCACATTTGCTGTTGCCTGATGTACATTGGCTTGCATGAGTTAATTACCCTGTACAGAGCATCAATTTTTCTTCATTTTATATTTAGATGCTTTGCTCAGAGCTCCTCTGCTGGGATGAAGGAATTTCACATTGTCAGTTTATCCCAGTGATGAGTCTGAAACTGAAGTTGAGCAGAGCTTGTTTGATGTCTGGGTTCTGATAAAAGCATCTCTAACTTCCAGCTGTGGCTCCCTGAGCTTCTGGTGAGGAGCAGAAGGCTCTGCCCAGATGCCTTTGTATGCCACAGAGCCTGGGATGGGTTTAGTGGGTGGAATTTTGAGTGGAGGCCTGAACCTGGAACATTCTGGGCTGAATTTCAGCAGCTGAACAAGGAAGAAGGAGAGGGACTGTAGGGGCAGCTGGGGGGCAGGACGGTGGGGATGGACAGAGAGCAGAGATCTCTGCAGCCAGGGCAGGAACTTGGGGTTCATTGCAAAGGGCCTGGGGGCAGGGCCCTGCTGGGAGCTGCCAAACACAGCTCAGAGCAGGCCTGAGAGAAGAGAGGGGGAGAGAGGATGAGAGGGTGAGAGACTAAAAGGGGTAAGAGAATAATCAAGGTAAGAGGCAGGAGCTAAGAGAGTGAGGTTCCCATTACAATACCATAAATCATCTTCTGTGTTGAATATTCTGATTCTCACTAACCAGTCTAATACAAGATACAAATCCTATAGCATTTACATACAGCCTGTAAGAATCACTACATTACCATCCTGTGTTACATTTTAAACCCTAAAAACTCCTCTTTGGACCCCTTCTGCCAAGCTGTAGGGTCTGCTCTGACCCTTGGGCCTGTCTGCAAGCAGAGGGTGTTGTTCCATCAAAAGGGGATCACCTTCAGCTGGCCACACCATTGTTTTCCAGGTGTTCAGTAACTGAGGTATCTCAATGCTTGCTTTCATTTCAATCTCACTTATAGTTTCTATATTCTCAACATCTTTTGCCAGACAATCATATTGATAAGGCTTTCCTGTTCCATCTTCCCCAACATTGGACTTTTACAAGGGTGTGTGGTGCCAGGACAGGGGGAATGGCTCCCAGTGCCAGAGGGCAGGGCTGGATGGGATATTGGGAATTGGAAATTGTTCCCTGTGAGGGTGGGCAGGCCCTGGCACAGGGTGCCCAGAGCAGCTGGGGCTGCCCCTGGATCCCTGGCAGTGCCCAAGGCCAGGCTGGACATTGGGAGCAGCCTGGGACAGTGGGAGGTGTCCCTGCCATGGCAGGGGTGGCTCTGGGTGGGCTTTGAGGTCCCTTCCAACCCAAACCATTGTGGGATTCTGTCATTCTTACTGTGGGAGCCAGCAGGGCTGATGGTGCTTCCCTCACCTCTGTCTAATGAATTTTGTGTGTCAGGGTTTGATGTGCTTTGTCCCAGGGACAGAAGTTTTTATAGCTCAGCAAATTTGCTGAGGTCTCCACTGCTCCCTCAGTAAAGAGATTAGTTGAGGAAATAAGTTTTGCTCCCTTGGGAACTGTGGTGCATTGCCACTTTGTAAACACACAGATGCCATCACAAGAAAAAAATCCAAATATTGTATCAAGCTGTGATGTCTGAAACATTGTTTTACATTCTGAAAGACTCCTGCTGTAATATTGGAGAGTCAGATATCACAAAAGGCAATGGACAGGATTTAATTTTTTACAAGGCTACAGCTAAAGAGAGTGATAAAATTCTAATGGTGCTGCTCTTTTAGGGTATTTGCAAGGAAAACCAAACATCTTCCTAAAGCAAACTTCATGCTGTATTTTCAGGAGTAGGCAAGTCACAGCAAAATAATTTCCACAAGAGGGGAAATAGGAAATACCCAACCTTCTGTAGCCTCAACCTGCCCTCTCTAAGTGCACATCATCTCCTTGTGCTGCAGCTCTCAGCTCAAGTGTTCCAGGTGATTTCAGTTCTCATGTTGAGTTGGAGGAGAGATTGTATTTGATTGTAGTTTGTCTTTGTCACAGGAGACGTTTGGCTCAGGGCAATTCCACCCTTTTGTTTTAACGTGAGGAAGGAAAAAGGTGCAGCAGCACTGGGAGTGCCATGAAGAGGCTCCAGTTCTTTCGTGCCTGAATATTTTTCACCTTGCACTCTGCAGCTCTCCCCAGAGCTCGGTGGGAGGTTGGTGCA